GCCGCTCTCCCGCGCCCCACCGCAGCGCATGCTGACCCGCCCGGGCCCCGGCGGCCGCTGGGGCCAGTGCGCGCGCGGCCGGAGAGCGGTGGGGGCTGGGCAACCGCGCCGCGAGGCCCTGGGTGTGGCCCGCAACAAAGGAAGCGGGGCTGGGAGCTCTGTGCCTGGGGCTGTGGCGCTGAGGGCGCGGGTGGGCCGCTCGGCCTCCTCCCCGTCCCCTGCCTTGAGGTGAGGGACGGGACCCCAGCGTTGGGCGCGGAGGGGGCCAGCCAGGGGTCGCTGGCAGGTGGACTCGCGTGCTGTGCGGTGGTCTGCAGTGACGGGATTCCCTGCTCCTCAGTGTCCGGGATCGGAGCGCAGAGGCGGCCGGGCCGTGCAGAGCGCTGGCGGGGCGGGGGCCGACGCTGTCCACTGCCCGGTCCCCTTGGCCTGGATGTCTCAGACGCGGCTTTCCTGAGGGCCCCCGCAGCCCTGTGAGGGGCAGAGATGGAGGGTCTGGGCGCTGGCGAGGGCGGGGTGGGGCAGCCCTGCCTCCGGACCTTGTCTGCAGGAGATGCCTGGGCCGCCCCTCCTGTCAGCAGGCCTTGGCTGAACTCCCCCAGGTGTGCGGGCCCTGAGGGTGAGGAGCACCTGTCCAGCCCTCTGGACGTCGTGTGAGTGGCCAGTGCACAGCCAGTTGACAGAAGCAGCAGCAGTGTGGCCACCCCAGGGGGGCAGCCTTGGTGGGGACCCTGAGGACTGATGGAACTCTGGGCCAGACCCAGGCTGTCCCTTTGTCATCCCGTGAGCATGGCAGGTCTTCCCATTTCTCAGTACCTGATTTCCCCATTGATGATCCCAGGGCTAATCTGACAAAGTGGCTGGCAGGAGTGCTGCCCGCTTGCCCTGCGGTCGCCCTGCCACGACCTGTGGGGCTATGGTGCTCAGGAGCCACGCCTGCTCCTGGAGGATCTGTCCTCTGCTGTCTGTGGCAGGATCACGCTGGTCACACCCAGGGACCCCCACCCCTTGGGTGAAGCAGGTGGCCAGCCCCACATGGGAGAATTAATTAGTCACCACTAGTTAGTGTGGGAGCTGGCAGAGCCTGACTTCCCAGCAAAGGCAGTGGGCCCATGGCCACTGAACAGAGAAGGGAGGTGTCCAGGGAGGTGTCCCAGGCCCTGGCTTCTCTCCGGGACCCTCTGACTCCTGAGGCTTTTGCTGCTATGTGTGCCAGAACCCTTCCCTTAAACACCAGCAGAGGACAGGATTGGGCAGCACCCTGAGTCTGTTTAATCCTGCTCCTCGGATGAGTTCATAACAACACGCATCAGACCCAGAATGAAACCTGCAATCTCAATCCAGTGTGGTGGGATGGCCGTGTAGGGCTGGAGGAGGTCCCAGTAGGGACCCCATTCTGGTGGGAGGGGAGGAAGACAGGGGTCTGGGTGGAGGGCCCAGAGATAAAGGACTAAAAACAGAAGGAAGGCCCACCCAATCTGTGTCCCCAGGGTGGCTTCTGCACAGCCACAGTGAAGGCGGGGTCGCCAAAGATGCTTTGGCAGAGTGTGTAAAGGCGCTTGTGTGTATGTATGTGTGAGTGTATGTGTAGTGCACATATGTACATATGTAAGTGTGCATGTGCATGACTGTTGTGTGAGTGTGGGTGTGTATGTATGTGTGTGAATATGGTTATGTGTGTATATGCATATGTGTGTATGCATGTGTGTTATGTGAGCATATGTGCATTGTACACGTGTGAGTGTGGGTATGTGTGTATGTATATGTTTGTGTTTGTGTATCTGTGTGTGGTGGGCATGTATGTGTGTATGTGTGGTATGTAGGGTGTGTATGTATGGTGAGTGTATGATTGTGTAAATGTGTGTATGTGTATAAACAT